TTGGTTAAGTAAGTCATCCAGAGAAGGAAATGGAGTAATTAATAAAGGCATGAAGAGAAGGCGCCATGGGTTATGTTTACTCCGCAGCATCTCATTCTAAACACTCACCTCTATTTTCTCCACGCACACCTACCTAGTATTAACATACGAATTTCCTTTCTTGCTGTACTGACAGCCATAGACCTGCAGGGTACATTTGGCCACTGAATGCACATAGGTATTTTGAAAGCCAAAATTAGAGAACCTTGGTGAGCAACATTTTTCAAAAATTGTCAGTACTTAACAGGCACAAACATGGAATTGTGATGTATAAACTGTGAATAGTAATTAATTATAGAATCTGAGATATCTTACTTTTAAATTCTTCGTGAAAGCTTTTCTGTCAAATATTTTAAAATGGTTGTACTTTGTGCATAAAGTTTAAAGTTCCTAGTTAAATGGTTCAACAGTGGATTAGAATTTACTTTTTCTTTTAAGTAAATGACTACAGGTATTGTTATTTAAAATTTACAAATAGATTCAAATAATAGTAATTGATGGGAAATGACTAACTTACATGGATTAGAACAAGTTTTGGACTACCAGTGTGGGATATGTAATCCATGTCATTGATTTATGCATTCATTGGAAATGCCCTTAGTATCCAGAGCTATTTCCTTGATTGAGACAGTCGTATTTTCTTTCTTCTTCTATGCCCGGTGTGCCTTGAATGTAGTGCACAGTCATAATTATTGTTAACAGCTAGGCAGACCCACTGTGTGGCAGGCAATCTGCAAGCTGTATGTGTCACGTTAACTGATAAATATTTGCTGAGAGATGAAGGAGAAAAGGTAGCAATCAGTGCTTTTACACTCTAACACACAGAAAAAGACTCCTTTCCTCAGCTGCTAAAGGAAGGAGCCTAGATATTTACAGGAATTTCATTATTTTTCTTTGTGAGTAGGTTTGGACAATAGCCTTGACATCTCTTGATGTTCAGTGCTTAAATGAGGTTGATAGGGGCTGGGGACATAGCTCAGCGGCATAAGTGCCTGCCTTGCAAGCAGGCAGTTGTGAGTTCGATCCCTGGTACTGATAAAAAGGAAAAAGACAAAAAACAAAAAAAAAAATGAGGCTGATAATCTTAAAAGTGCTCTTCTCTGATTAGTCAGTGTTTAATGATGTGTTTAATAATACTCCATAATACTCCAAGTAAAAATCTTTGGCAGTTTGTCTTTGCCATTTGCCATGCATCTTGACATTAAATATAGTTTGTAGCAATATTGTAATATTGAGTCACTCAAGAGCTAATAAAAGAATATCCAGCCAACCTAATATCAGTATCATTGGGATGACATATTTAGGTTTTGAAATATCTTGATGATTAAATGTCTTTAAAAGTATTGATGATCTCATGTATGGTTACAATAAAATTGCCATTTATAAAATATTATTTGTAACACCCAAGATTATATCTGCTTATTCTTTTTATTATAAAAAGAGTCCTGAATGAATCATCCCATTATAAATACTTTCTGTAATCAACTTGATTAATTAAAAATGGCAAACTATTATGGATTTGCTAGTCTTTATGTCATACAACTTTTACCAATATGTTGTATAATTATTCAAAATACAAAGAAGAGCATGCAACTAAAATATCTTCATTTTTAGCTCATGCTTCTGATTACAAATACTTAAATACAAAGAGAAAAATACTCAGGCATCTATGTCTTTGGTTTTTGTGGTTTTTCTCTAGCTTCTTCGTTGGTTTCTCTAGAGGTAATAATAAAAGCTGTGTCTTCTGACTGTATAATTAGTAGTAAGGGCAGCACACATCAAGTGAATACTATTTTGATACTTTATTTTTTTATTTTAAAGAAAATAAAAGCAAACAAAGCAAAATGGAATAAAGCTAATCAGAGCAGAACAATGAAAGTGATGCACAACTGCAAAACAAAATAGGAAATCAACAATGGGTACCATAATATCTCGTTTTCTTCAAACTAACTGTCCATACCATCAGACGTAATAAAACCAAAACCAATCAAAATGAAAGAATGAAAGCATTACAGGTCTTCAAAACAAGATAATAGGAAATCAGCAATGGCTACCATAATACATTCCATTATCTTCAAAATAGCTGCCCATACCATCAGACATAGTAAAATCAAACAGAACAAGACAGAGTAAAACCAAACCTAACAAAAAGATGAAAACAATACAGGAATTCAAAACAAGATAATAGGAAATTAACAATGGTTACCACCTTCCCTTTTTAGATGTTCCCTTCTCTATCACTTTCATAATATCTATTGTACATTTTGGATCCCACTAACTCCTTCGGGTTTTTATACCAGAAGATAACACAATGTTCACTCATACGAGTCTGAAACATTTCATCCATGAGCATGGTCTCAAGTTGCATCCATTTACTTACAAAAGCCTCAAGATTATCCCTCGCTATAGCTGGAAACATTGTATGAGAATACAGTGTCTTTCTTATCCAGTCTGCAGTTGATGGGCACACTGCCCCTGCTTTTTTTTCTGTTTTGCTGTCACATGGAGCATTGTTTTCACTCCTTTGACTTTCTGTCTATGAATTTCCTTTTGAGGTCAATGTGTTCCTTATAGAACATCATATTGCTGAATCTTGTTTCTTGATCCTCTCTCCCTGTGTTTCTTTTTGTTGGTGAGTTGATGCTATCTACATTAATGGTTACAACTGGCACGCATCGGCTCGTCTCTGCCGTGCTGTGCTCCTGCTGTTACTCCTCCTCTTTCCTTCTTTCAGTTGCCTTCCCTGTTTGGCCTCTCTGCAGCTATTCCTGGAACTGTGGTAATTTTTATCTCTCTAGAAAATTTCCCAGTGCTCTTTATAGGGTTGGTTTGGTGTTCATGAATTCTTTCAGTTTTTCCTTTATCATGGAAATATCTTATTTTTCCATTAATTTTGAAAGATAGTTTTGCAGGTACATTAATCTGGGTTGCAAGTTGTTTTCTTTCAGGATTTGAAACACTTCATTCCATCCTCTTCTTGACTTGATGGTTTGTATTGAAAAGTCTGTCATGATTCTGATGGGTTTTTCTTTATAGATGATCTATTTATTTTCTTCAGTAGCCTTTAGTGTTCTGTTCTTGTGCTGAATTTCTGAGGTCTTGATTATTATATGTCTGAGTATAGATTTATTTTGGTTGTGGCTAGTTGGAGTTCTGTATGCCTCAGTTATCTATATGTCAGGTCCTTTTCCTGTGCTCGGGGAGTTCTCTGCTATTATTTCTGCAGATAGTCTCTTTATGTCATTTGTGTTGACTCCTGCTTTTTCACTGACACTTACCATTCTTAAATTATTTTTCTTATCATCACCTTGCAGCTGTTGAATCATTATTTCCTTGTTCCTTGTTATTTTTAATATACTGTTTCTTTCATGGTCACTAATGGCAATCTTGTCTTCAAGGTCTGAAAGTGTATCTTCAGTCTCTTCTAAGCAGTTTTGCCAGATTTTTAATTTCCTGGATATCTCTTTGAATCTGTTTCCATTCACTATAATTCCTTCCTATATTGTTCATGAAAGGTTTCTATCATTTTCCTATGCTCTTCTTTTTTGTCTATGTCTTCTTTAGATATGCTCAGCAATTCTTTCATTATGTTTGTGACTTTTTCTGAGATATTATTTCTGATTTGATTACTTTTACAGCCTCATAAAATTGTTTCTTTATTTTAATTTCTATCCTTTCAGAGATTTCAGGTGTGTGACTCCCATTTTCTTCCATGTCCCTGTCTCCTAGACTTGTTCTGTATGGGTTGGAGGTCTGAGACTGACTTTTGCTTCTTTGTCTTCGTATTTTCCTGAGTTCCTCCCAAGCCGGTTCCCAGGTACTTCCCATGTTGGATGCCCCTCCATAGTGTAGGGAAATGGGCCAGTCACCTGGGTTTCTCTGAACTCAGGCTCCCAGGGAGGCAGTGGGGCATGGGACAAGTCTCCCCAGACCTACATGGGTACACTGAGGCTTTCCTGATGGCCTTGAGTGTGTGGCAGTGGGCTGCTTCTTTTCTTAGCCTGTGTGGCTACATGGGGACCCTTGATGGCAGCAGGTGCACGGATACATGTCTGTGTGGTTCTCCTGGCCTGCATTGGCTGCCCATGGAAAGCAAGCACTCTGATGGCATGTGGGCACATTCAGTGTGTCTGGGTGTTTCTCCTTGTCCATGCTTGGTAACCTGAGGGAGGTAGCAGGGATGCAGTGACCAGTGGCAGTTCCTTCCTGCTCAAGCTGGCTGCCCACAGGGAGGCAAGCCCTCCAATGGCGGTGGCATGCCAGGGTGGGTCTTGGAACTTTTTTTTAACATAGAAGGATGAGGTTTATGAGTCAGTAAGTGGTCTGGTTTCTCAGGCTTTTGTAAAAATACATGCATCTGACTTAGCCTTGACTTATAGTAAAACTACAAAGAATTCATATGTTCTACAGAAAAGATTCTTTAAAGATTATAGACTTTTCATTACTTGCTAAACAAAACTATGCTGTTTACCAACTTTGATGAGGTGTTCATCGGCTGTTTATTTTTAAATATCAGAAGAACCCATTACATAAGAAATACCCATGGAAACATTGTCATTGTCATTGTCTTTGGTTTGGCAGCCCCAATTAAATTCCTTTAACAGATTTCTTTTTCTTTTGGAAAAAGTCTGAAAGAATTATATATCCAAATAAAAGCATAATTTTTGGTAAGATATGATAGGAAATGTTTGTTTCATCCTTATGTTCCTTTAAAATAGCATCTGTAATAGAATAACAAAAATATAATTAACTGCATGCTAACCTGATTTTCAGTAGGTGTTCTTAATTCCTGAGATTTGGACTAATCTCCAGATGGCTTATCATTGCCACTACTCAAATTTCACTTGACACTGAAAATTGGTTTTTTGCCTCAGAAGCTGCTAACCAAGCATGAAGGTACTATTCAGGCTGGGGAGGGTGTTGGAGGGTGATTCTAAGGAGTGTGTGTGTTCCTTGTGCAGCACCTGTGCTCCCCGGGGCTTACCAGCAGGGCCACCCCCAAGGCTACGGGTACATGCACCAGACAAGCATGTCTTCCATGAGGTCTATGCAGCATTCCCCAAACCTGGTAAGTGTCACACCCAAGCCTTCCTTCCTCTCTGCTCTTCCAGTTTTGCCTCCAAAATACAGATGTATGTTGTAATAGGTGAATCGACTAGTGACCATTTTTCTGTATAGCTAAATGATGCATGATGATTGATGTGACAATCCACCCATGTGGCCATCGATACCACTCTTTCAAAGGAAGTCAAAAGCTTACAATGGGAAAGCATTGTAAAAAGAATCCTCTTTTTTTCCAATAAGAATTACATGAAACAAGAAAACATACAAAGGATCTATTAGTATCATGTCCTAATAGTCACTTCATGATTGGTGTTAGCCAGCTTTGATCTTTATTGGGACCTAAAAAGCTGCAGATGTTTGATGGTCCTAGGATGGATGGATTAACATTGATGTTCATGGAAATGCCTATGAAGCTTAAGTAATGTAGCCAAATAGCAAATAGAGAGGGTTTTAAATGTTCCCATCATAAAGAAATTGTATGTCTGAGATGGTAAATTTGCCAGTTACCCTGACTGATCATTCTAACAAGGATGTAGTTATGTGTACTGCAATACTGAGACCACTTATTTACTACATTTCTGTTACTGTGATACAAAAACTATAAAGTAAGGATATTACAGATTTTTATTTCACGTATGTATGGAGGTATGTTTCTAGAGGTCGAATCCAGGGCTTTTGCACTGAGCTGTGTCCCTATCCCCTTTTTATTTTGAAACAGAGTTTTGTTAAGTTGTCCAGGCTTGGTTCAAACTTGCAATCTTCCTGCCTCAGCCTCTCAGATATTTTATATATTTTTGAGGGGAAAAGCTCATTGCTTCTGCCCAGGGACCAGGGGCAGAGAGCCAATGGGACTTGGGCCTGTCTGCTACTATGGAAAGTTTTGTTCTCTGACAGATGTAGAACAGGGAGGAGTATACGTAGTCTGAGATTAGCTGAGGCTGGAGGAATTGGCTTTACTCTTTCAAAGGCTAAATGACAGGCTAGCTGTTGTATTTGTTACTTTTCATTATTGTCTTGTATTTTCCTCATTTCTGCTCTGACCCTTAAATAGTTTTTCCTCTTGGATTAATGAACTTGAGAGCAACACAGTTAGTTAGATACTAGGCATTAGTCTACGGGTTTTTAAAGATAGCCAGGCTTGAAAGCCTTCCTGATGACAGGTGCGGGTTGGTTTGTTGGGAGTGGAGCTTGGGTGGTGCCTGTTTCCATATTCATTACTGAATCCCGTCTCCTTTCTCAGAGGACCTACCGAGCCATGTATGATTACAGTGCCCAGGATGAAGATGAGGTCTCTTTCCGAGATGGCGACTACATTGTCAACGTGCAGCCCATCGACGACGGCTGGATGTACGGCACGGTGCAGCGCACCGGGAGGACGGGCATGCTCCCGGCAAATTACATCGAGTTTGTCAATTAGCTCTTTCTCCCTTCCCTTTAAGCTTTATTCTAATGTATTCTAAACCTAATCTTTTTAAAACCTAGAAGATACTTTTAAGACAACTTGGCAGTTATTTTCCAGTAATGCACCCTTACTTTGACAGTTAGACACAAGGTACCAGGAAGTGGGAATGACTTGGGGCCGAAAACGGCAGCGTTCTCAGTAATTCCTGTAGACAAAATCCTGACGTCTGGAGGCCTGGTGCTGCTAATTGTGTTTGTGGTTTCCTTTGATTGACTCCTGAACCCTTCCAGGAAATGTATTTTTGTAGCCTTTAATAGAGATGTTGATTGTCCCTTCTGTGTAATGAGTGTATGAGACTTCTTACCTGTCCCTTTGGAATAACCAGAAGCCAATTCTCTCTACGCAGTCACACAGCCAATAACTTACAAACTGTTTAGCTTTTGAGTCATTAAGCAATTTCCAATTCAAATGGAAATTGCCTGATATAATACATGTAATCAGTGGCAGGATGACAGTCTGGTGAGTTACATTGACTGATGGGTGGCCTTAGGGACTGATCAGGACATTTCCTTGTTCCCTGGGCCACTGGGGTCTGTTTAGGTCTTGTTTGTACCAAGGCATCTCCTACTTTCCATTTACATTCTCTGGACCAGAGTTTATGCTTGGTCCCACAGAATTTCAGGACCAAATAGTGTCACAGCTACTCTGCAAAGGGCAAAGTTTAATGTCATCTGTATTATTTCCTTAGGAGCCTTTATCCTGTTGCATGTCCTGTAAGTTTGGCTTCTGTTACTAAAGCAAACCATGTGACTGATATCTACAAGCCCTGTCTGTCCTCTAGTTCCCAGCTTATCAGAAAAACATCTTTAAAAGTTGCTTGAGATCTTCTTGCTGTATTGCACTCTAGAACTGAAGGCCTGACACCTTAGGAAATACATGTAAATAAGTGACTTAGGTACTCACAGAACAATTTTCATTAGCGTAATACCACTTGTGAAATAAAAGGGATGAAAATTTAACAGGACCTGATGAGCATATGGAATTTGGAGTGTACTAGAGAAAAATCCCAGCACATGAGTTTGCTTTGCACAGAGATGATTCGGTTTCTTATTTTGGAAAATGATACTCATATTTGGGAATGGAAATGTAGCCACTAAGACTGGTTCATCCTAAAACTTCCTTTCTACTTTTTGGTTTTTGTTTTCTAAATTATCTTCAAAGGATGAGATAGGTATGTCATCAGAGATTTTTCAGGGTAGTTTACAAAAAAGGAATCGCTGTGTTTTAAGTGACTTTGTGGGCTTTTGCTCAATTTCCAGCCACATGGTGAATTTTCTTAGTGCCTGAAGTGAAGGTCACCAGTAGATTGATATCCACTGGCAATTCTGTGTTTTTCTGATTGTTCCCTTTTTGTGACTTGCAACAGGGTATCATTCATGTAGAGTCTGACTGTGTCATTGTGATGAAACTGGAAACCGTAAAAGTACAAAATAGTAATAAAATATCTTGGGTGAATCTACTTTGTGTGTTAGAAGAGATTAACAAAACATCCTGTTACATCTTTTATTGAAATTTTACTAGTCTAAAGACCATAGCTAGTTCATGTATGCCTTTTAAGAGTTAGCACCATACTTTTGAAAATCTGCACTTTCGTTTTATTAAGCTTAAAAAACAAAATAAGCTTCAGTATACTAAAGCTGTATTAAGTGGCACTGATGTAACATTTAAGAGAAAAATTCAGGCAAATTACTAGAGATGTTTTGGAAAGGATTTTACAGAGTACCAGATAACCAGCTGACCTGATTTTCTGTCATGATTAAATTGATTAAACTGTGTATCTGTCTTTGATGTCTTGTATACAGATCTAATGTTTCAAAATCTGTGCATTAAAACGAAGGACAATAAGCCTGCTCAATTTTATTATACTAAATATGCCTTTATATTTCACCCAATCACACCTTTTGTATGTGGATATCAAACAAGAGTGACTGTTGATTAAATTTTCAGACTAAATGTAGGACGGGTACAAATTTTGATACACAGCACATGTACAGACAAAAGAAAACAGACTTGAAATAATGCTCACAATCAGGAAAGGTACCGTACAGTGGCAGCTTGTTGTTTTATGCTTTTCTCATTCACTAATTTTAAAATCAGATTCACTGAATGTAAAAGTCAGTACATATTTGGGGAATATGTATTGTGTTCTCAAATTTTAAGGTACACATAATGTTGCACAGTAAAATATTTAAGCCTTTAGGAATTAAGATCTGATCACAGTTCAACTAGAGAGTATTTATTTTCACTAAAGACTGAGGCAGAACAAGATGTTTCCTGCTGTTGAGGTTTATAACTCGATAGCGTTGAAATTGTCGCTAACCCTTGTCAGGATATTCTACTGTATTCTCTGTAGAATACAGGAAACGTATGTGTGTGGTATCAAAGTGCTACTTTTATTGCAGTATTTTAAGAACCACATTATCCAACAGCTTTTCCCCTCTCCACATGCCTCCCACCCACCTTCAATTTGATAAACAACACTGACAGTTTGGAAAGAGTTTAAAAGCAAGTCCTTTAAAAATCAAGTTAAAAGGTCTGGATATGCCAAGTACAGAGAGTGGCACATGTTCCTTAAATTGGATATGCTCTCACACTGGACTAAAGCACAGGGAGCAATTGGATACATTTTCAGAAGTTTTTGAAAACCAAGCTGTATGTGGATCTTATTTCACTTGAGAAAAGCATAGCAACAGAATAAGTTTTGTTGTTAAGTTTTATAGTAAATGTTTTTACTAATTCTCATTCTTTTGAAGGCTTCCTACTTCAAACCTGTGACAGAATGAATTCTTTATGTCTCCTTGTTACCGTTTGCACATTCGCAGCGTAGCCCAGCTTAAAATATTTATCTGGTTGTCAGCTCTCCTCGGAGGTTTGGCATCTTCCCACGCCTCCTGACCTCCAGAGACCACACAGGAATTTGTAAGCACAATTTCCATAAGCATCTTGTATAAATACAGATGAAATTAGACCAGCCCCTTTTTGCTTAAAGATGATGATGGTGTGGGTTTGCCAGTTTTATCACAGTCTTTCTTTCCTGATCCTCTCTGTGCTGAGCTGGGAATTAGGAAGAAGATACTTCTTTTTAAAAGGCAGTAGAAATTTAAGAGATGCATCTTGTTTTCAGGGTCATTCAACTTCAGTAGAATGTTTTTAATGAAAAGATAAAGAAAATGGGAGTGATCTTTAATAACATCCCAATATATAGTAGATATAGTTTATACCAAAATTATACTACAAATATGTTATACAATAATAGGTGCCTTTTTGATTATCCTTGTTTATCCATTATGATACTGGGAAAAAAACAAGCAAGCAAGTTTCTGCCTGTTCTACAGTAATATTTTATTATACATGATTGATATTTTTGTGGTGGGGAAGAGGGATGTTCCTGAAAAATATTACAGGTGACAGGTGATTGTATTTTACCATTAAAGGTTTAGAACTTTAGAAAATGCTGACTTCTTTAATCTATTTCTGAAAAGTTCTTTGTTGATTTATATATAGTTGAGATGTATAAACACTGAACCTTGGATTGCGTTTTAAAATACATATTGTATGATAGAATAATTATGTGATGAGGCTGAATTCACTGTGTGTAAGATGAACTTCACTTCACAGGTTAATCTCACCTTAGCTTTTGCTTGTGGTATTGCCGGTGGCCAGACGGTACACTTGGTAACCTGTCATAAGGATCATAAAGCTTTAGTTAAGTAAGAAGTTATGTAAACCAATGTGAGTTTGCTAAAATGTAAGTCTCTTTCTCAAGTATTCCATGCCTGTTAGGGCCCTTTCTAGGCAACTAACTAGCAGCTGTTGATGATTTAAAAAAGTCAAAACAAACTTAAGACATTGCCATCCATAATGCTTAAGACTAGTGGGACCCACAGGCAGGCTCCTCCCTGGTTGTCCATATTCCTTCGGTGTATTCATGGGAACTTCGTATGTTTTTTGCATTTGCTATCTGGTGTCCGGTTTGCATAGTGCACACTTTGTAATCCAGTTGCTGTTCAGAATTTATTTTAAAGGACAAAGGGAAAAGTGCATCACAGTTCCATCCTTTTGTGTCCATATAGTGAATTGCTGAGCATTTTGGAAGCAGCACTAAGTCTGGCAGGCATGATATGTGTGGAACTATTGGTCTTTGACCTGTGGTAAAAATGCAACTTTGAACTGTTGTGTAGTTTGACTTCTGTTTTCTTCAAAATATGTACAATTATGGTTGATTATTAACTTGTAAGACTGTACTAATTTCAAGAGTATTAACAGTTTTGAAGGAAACATTTAATGTTTTTCCAACAAAGGGGCTTATAGAATGATACAATGTTACTAATATAATTTGGCTTTTGTTATGCAAATTGTTAACACCAGCTATTAAAATCTATTTTAGTAGAAATGCTTTAACTCATGTTTCTTTCCTCTACACTGTGAATCTTTAAGCCTTGGCGGACTAGAGAAAGATCATGCTGCCCAAAGGACTAACCTATGCAAACGAGTTCACATTTTTGTGGATGTCACAGTAAATGTGTAACAAGACATTATTCCTCCTGTGTGATGTACAGTGGCATTGGATAACACCCGAAGCCTAGCATCCTGTGTGTATAGTGTGGCTCACCCATAAATCCTTTGAGACTACCATACTCAATAGTACTAGTATTTGTTTGAAAGCAAATTGCTTATTGAAGCTATTTGAATGATGTCAGAATGGGACTGATAGATGGATGTGTGGGCTGTAGCTTTCACATGGGCCGTGAAGATGTTCTCCTACGATATAGCTGTGCTCTCACATGCATTCCCTTCAGGGTCTTATATTCTGTATTTGTAAAATGTTATAACGCATTCATTTCCTATCTATCTCTACACATTTGATTTGCTTAAATAAATGCAGGATACAACAAAATGGTTCTACTTTTTGGCTCTCACCGTGGTTTCTTGAAATAGTATGGATCATTAGACACAGGTAACGCAGAGTGATACCTGGGTGTTAGGTTTATTGTGATCACACACACTGAACATAGTGAGGCATACTGGCTGCAGAGCGTTTACATGGACAAGTCATTGAGTATGTTTCCCTCCCCAGAATTCACTCAGTTTTAGGTGACATCAGTCGGATGCTTTCCCATTCTTGGATTCTTTCTGACTTCATATCAAAGGACTGTAGTAATGCATCACGTAGTGCATTTCTTTCAAAATTAAATTCCTTATGTACGCTGACTAGTATCATTTTAAGTTTTTTGTGTTTGTAAGATGACAGGAATAGCTTGGAGCAGAAAATTAAAATTTGTACAAATTGAGAACATGAAGTGGAATGGTACTTTAGTTTTTCAGTTAAGAAACACTCATTTATCATAGAATATTTTCCCCTAATTAAAAAAGTGAATCCTTTTTAAAAAGGCCTTCCTATAAATTTCAGTGGATTGGATTTTAGCCATATTGTATTATTTTCTAAAGTCATTCTGTGGTGCATAATCCTTCCTAATTGTAATCTGATAAACTGTAGATAATGCCCACTCATAAATGCTTCTACCAAATCATAAATTGAGTTTCTTGATTTTCCAAATGTATGAATGAATCTTTTTGTGGTATTATTAAACAATATAGTTGTTTGTTTATTTGAAGAATTTACCATCTTCTGCCAAAAAAAGTTGCACAATTATAAATTTATTATTTGGAATCTGGGCCACCAAGAAGATGATTAATTTGGGAAGATTTTTTCTGACGTAGAATAATTTAGGTTTGGAATATACTATAATTATATTATCCTGATTGCAAATTTTGTAGTTAGTTTTTTAGGTGATTGTATCATGAATAGCCATCAGAAGCCTACCAAAACTACTTCTATGAAAATACTCAGACATAATAAATTGAAAAGTAAATAAAAGGAAAGTTTTGTTCCTTTATGTAATATGCTTCTTCCCCACAGAGGGATTGAATAAGAGTTTTGTGATGGCAGAAAACTGGATGAGGGTGAACTTCAACTTTTTTCTGTCATTTGAAGCAAAATTCTCAGGTCTGTGTCTATTTTATTTGTATTTGTGAGCAGTAGAGTTTTGATGAAAAAGTAGAATGAGAAAATGTATTTAAAGAGTGAAAAGTCAATATTAGAACAAAGGACCTACTTACCTAGTTGTTGATTTTGTGTTTATACCATGGCATTTTGGTCCTTGTTGGTTTTGTCTTTTTTTTTTTTTTTTTGTAGCAAACATGACAGAGACCAATAGCCAGAAATGGAGAAAGAAGAAAAATCTGAGTACCTGTTATTTCACTTGAAAAAATAGAGAACATTTTTGCATTCCAAGTTTAATTACCAGATTTCTCTTCACTGAACTAGCGTCTGATTCTTGACAGAATAATCATGCTTCATATTTTTTTTTTTTATGTCCAAGGCCATCAGGCCCTAGTTAATGTTTGCTATATGTGGATAACAATGTTCTGTTCTGTCCCACAAGACATCATTTCTCTGGTTACTGCTGACTAGACAGAGGTGACCCAAGAGGGCTGCACAAGAACTCTGCTCAGCAGGAACTGGGTGACTCAACCTACCAAGTTTTCCTGCAGGGGTCTAGATTGAATATATAGGTCATGTTTATTAACTGCTTATATTATTAAAAACTAAGGCACATAGAGGAAGGAGAGAAAGGAGTTGAGGAAATATAAGCTGTGAGTAAGCAGAAAGGGAGAATAAGGAGAATCTACAAACTAGGAAAAAGATGTTTAGAGTAAGACAGGAAAAAGCACAGTGGCGGATTGGTAGTGGCAGGAACCACATCCCAACCTGTGGAAGGAACAGATGTCTGTTAATTAATGATGGCGTCTTTTTAGTGACACCATCTCCTGCTGCTGGGAGGAGCCCACCCATGGGGAGGTCACCTCCTCGCAGTCTCCCTACGCTGGTAGGGCCTCCAGGGAGGCTCCTTCTACTTCTTGCCATCTTTGCATGTAAACTTTTATTCTTTGAGACGTGTTTCAGGGTCTCTGTGTGCCTTCAATCACAGCTTGACTAACGTAGTGTCCATTTATGTCCCTTGTCACAAAGTGAAGATTCTGTGTTCTTGTATCTTATAGATGAAGAAACAGGACAATCCACCTTGACCAGGAACACATTTCATGAGTGTTTTGCACCATTTCCTCCCAAAGAAGAACCAGATAGCAGATGTGACTAAAATACCAGTTGCATTATCTCAGCTATCACACCACATGGGTGGATGTTAAATTTTTTTGTTGTCTTAGGCATTTTGATTTGTTTCACTGTATGTTATATATTCTGTCAAAAATCACTTTAGGGGATAACTGGAATGTATTTCCCTGGACCCTGTGAAAATCAGCAATAATTAATATCAAATGAATGTAACTTTCACCAGCAGGTCCAAGCAAAGAGAGGATTTAGGGGTTTCTAGAAGTTTGGTGAAGAAGGAAATGACCAGGACCACCTTAGTGAGTGTTGTAGGTCTTGGTGCTAAAGCAAGAAAGCCCAGTTATTTCAAGAGTTTTATTAAGAAATTATTCTCCCAGGCTCATCCAGTGGTAGCTGGTTATTAAGGTGAAAGAATCAGTCACTATAATTTATTCATTCAACATATATTTACTCACTGTTTATTCAAGGCATGGAACAAAAGACCTTTCCTCACCAAGCATTCAGACTGGCAGGGAAGACTACTATTAAATAGCTGATTATCTACTTTTGTGATTAATTGCTTAATTCCAGTTGCGGTGCTGCCGTGAGTTCTCAGGACTGGAAGGGCACACTCAGGAGGGGAGGACAAAGAGTTAGCTGCTGGACACAGCTCTGGGAGCTGCAAGAGAAGGGGTCAAGTTCAAGTTCATCTTAGCATCGGACACATGGGAAATTTCAGTCACTGGCAGTCAACAGAAATACTCGGGCTCTTCTCTCCAATTGCAATTTAAATAGCAATGGCAGGTTTTTGTGTTTTTAATAAAAGTAAATTCTCCATGGACAAGTCAGGGTACATGTGCTCGAATTTATGTCTACACACACCCTTTTATTATTCTAATCATGATTTACTGCACTTTGAAAAGACTCAGCAGGCTGCAGAGTTAATTATATACACAGAGTTTCACTGGTGTGGAATACTTCCTTTCCTTTTTTCTGATAATTGGCGATTGCATAGGCTTTCCTGTATCTTTGCTTCCTCCCTGAACATTTCCTGAAGTGAGTGCTCACTGGGGCTTATTGTAGTCCCATCTGCAGCACAGCCACTGATTAAAATGCTGCTCTGTGCTGTTTTAGATTTCACAGATTCAGGGTTCGTTATTCCCATCTGAGACGTGACATGAGTTAGTTATGCTACATTAAGTGGCCAAAGCAGGGAAAAATGATTCCCAGTGCATGAAAGTCATTGGTATTTATTTAGATTACAGCCTTCCTTTCAGGTAGGTCGTAGCTTTGTTTACACAATTCTTGCAAGAATTTTGAACATCTACTTGCTTTACAAGTTCAAAAATATATTTGTACTCTTTACCTCAGGCTATTTAAGTTAATGATGGAAATTATTTTGGACATATTTGCGTATTTTATTTCCCTAATGGATACCTACTAAGATACTTGTGGGAATGCTCAATGATACTAACGTTCCCTGGCTACAGGAACATCTTTTTTTTTTTTTTTTTTTTAAAGCTAAACCAAAAGTTCATAACAAAATAATAGGAGAATAACAATAATACATTGCATAGTTTTGTTTATTTGTTCATTTTTGGTACCAGAGGTCAAACTCACAACCTCATATGCTTGCCAGGCAGGCGCTTATGCCTCTGAACTAAATCCCCAGGCCCTACATATTGTTATCTTTAATTATTCAGAGTACAAGCTATGGGCATTAAAACCTCTCTAATCAATATGAACACAAACCTTCCTTTTCAATGAGCTGAGAGACGCTAATAGTATAACTGACATACATTTTTTCCGCTTTTCTCATCTATCCTTTCCTCCAGCCTCGGTCCTGTTTCCTTTTGAATGATTTCTTCCTATTTCACAATATCTATTGTACATTTTAGACTTTATTTACTCTTTCAGTTTCTCATACCAGGAGACAAATATGATGTTTACATAAGTGAGTCTGATTTATTCCACTTATGAGTATGGTCTCAAGTTGCATCCATTTACCTATGAAAGTTTCAAGTTTATCCTTATTTGAGCCTCCTTATTTATACAATGGAGTAGTACTCCATTGTATAAAAATACTGCATCTTTTTTAATCTACTCCTTGGTTGATGGGCACTTGGGTTGTTTCCAAGATTTAGCTATTCTAAATTGTGCTGCTATAAACATGGGTGCACATCCATTGCTGTGGTATGATTTTTTAACTTTTCTGGGAAGATTTTTTTTTTACTTCCAAAATGTGCTATGTAAAATTAGGCTATTAAATCTTTTTTATTTTTAAGTAACTGTGATCTGTTTCTAGAGCTGATCTGTTTCTTTTTATCTTGAAGCATGCAGTTTCTTTTTATGTGAACCCTCTTCCCACAGGTTTGTGTTTCTCTTAATGGGATTGTGTGTATACGACAAGCTTGTCTTGTGTATTCTGTCTATGCAGCAGTAAAATGATCCACTTGGCTTCCTCTTGTCTGCCACCATCTCCATCTTCTATGAACCACCGGTCAGTCAGGTAATAATGGTCCCCATGGTGACTTAGTTTCTGAAGAAGCAAAAAAAAAAAAAAAAAAACATGTCAATGATACAAGAACCAGTAATGCCACTGTGCCAACCTCTTAGTGTAATTTAAAAGTTCCATGTTTGAAAGCCTCAAGAACATCTCCAGAACTTTGAGGCTTCTAGTCTTAATATCTTGTTACTGATCATGACAGACCCTAGTGTGGTAGCTGCCTAAATATAACCCCTAGACATTTGACAGATACAATGAAATTATATTCATTCACAGAACG